TTATTAGAAAGTGTCCTTCTGCAGAATCTTGACAAGAGTTACAAGGTTTTACAAGCATAATACACAACAAACCCAACAAAACAGATACGTAAAAAGCAAATTCAGTAGACTTGTTAAGAGTCATTTTCCCCAGATTTGATTGCAAATGCTCTAGAAGAATCACAGATACAATGACAAAGCAAAATGAGCAAACAAAAATGTTAAAATAGCCATGGTTAAAATTCTGATAACAGTTTAGCAACTAACAGAACAGTCTGGGTATTTCTATTGTTTTCAGCATTGTAGGGTAATAATTAATCATGACTGGCAACATTACATCAGCACCGTTAACTTCTTGTTATAGTTAGGAACATGCACAAAAGCCTGCAAAAGGCAGCCATTACTAACAGTTTAATTTGGTACCAGCTTGGTACAGGATTTTCCTAAACTTTCCATTTCAGAAAGTTTTATAAGCTTGGAAAACACAAATATATTTAATATACAAAGGAGTCAGCAACAGCATTACTGTTTACAGAGGTCACACACACATAATTTAGTTGCTACCCTTGGAGTAAAACATTAAATCTTTGAATAGGTAGGATGTCAGGTTTATCACACTGACAAATTTCAAAACCTAGATTTCCCATGAGTTTTGGGCAGGCAGTGTCAGTGACCCCAAATAGCCCCAATTTTTAACATTCAGTTGCATCTCATATATATAACAATGTTTACCCAACCAAGACAAATAGATATAGTTCAGCTCCAAACAGCAGGACTAACCAAATGGCCTCTTGCCTCTGAATGGCATTGATCATAAATAACAGAAATGCCAAAAGTCCTATTGATCATTTTTAAATGTAAGTGCATCTTAGATAAAAAAAAGATGCAGTGCATCTTAGATAAAAGATAGCATCAGTTGGTCATTTTATTTTATTGTTTTGGTAGTACTGGGGTTGAACTCAGGCCTACACCTTGAACCACTCCACCAGTCCTTTTTTATGTTGGGTTTTTTCAAAATGGGGTCTTGAGAACTAGTTGCTTGGGCTGGCTTTGAACTGTGATCCTCCTAATCTCTGCCTCCTGAGTAGCTAGGATTATGGGTGTGAACCACTGATGCCTGACTTGTTATTTTATATTTACCAAACTTATACATTTTTAACTCTGCAAACATTTGTACAACATTCGGCTACAGTTTAAATATATAACTTCACATATCTTTAGTCATAGACACATGTAAGGCCTAACTGTATAAGCATCACTCAAGATAATAGTTGTTTAACTGTAATTATGCAATGGTCATTTAGAAAAGACTTGCCATAGCTGTCAAGTGGCTCAAGTGGCAAGAGTGCCTGCTAGCAAGCATGAGGCCCTGAGTTCAAACCCAGTGCTGCCAAAAAACAACAAAAAAATGTGGTCAGAAGACTTGCCATAACAGACTTTAAAATAATCGTTTAATTTTACTTATGATACAGTTACCTCAGTAGTCAAAACCCTGACAAAAATCAACAGAAAACACAAGCAAATATTGATGAAGACTAAGCATGGAGTTAGGAAACCTGATGGCTGAGAACCATGGCTTAGATGTGGATTAGGAGTCACATCCTAGACTGCTGACATTAGCAGATGGCTCGTGACATACAGAAGAGTCTTGCTGATCTTTAGCCAGGGAGCCCTTCAAAATAACAGGCCTAGTATGACCACCCAAGGTCAAAAATTTCCTTCTCCTCACATGTAGAAGAGCTGGATGATTCATAGCCCAAAGTCTAAGAGTTAATGACACACAACCCTGTCAGTTAAATCAACAGAGTAAACCGGCCAACAGGCAAGCTGGCTATACAAAAATGTTCTTTTCTTTTGTGATCCCTGTTACATTTTCCTCACTGGCAATTTGTTCCTTCCATTTCTATGGAAAAGAGACATTGCAATTATCTAATTCCTGCTCAACAAAAAGCAAATTTTAAACCCCTGTTACAATTTTATAACTTTTTTTGTTATAAATCTGTCTTTAACTAGGCACAAATTACTCTTGTAAAAAAAATCATGGTTTTCCCTTCAAATCAAGCATCTTGCTTAAACTTCTTATTTAAAAAGGGGGAAAAAAAACCCTGGAGTGTAAGATGAAGACATTTCTAGGAAAATGCTTTTCATTTTGAAATCAGAAGACTGTCTCATACTGGGCACAATGGTTCAGGCCTACAATCCCATCACTGGGGAAGCTGAGGCAGGATCGTGAGTTCAAGGCCAGCCTAAGCTATACAATGAGACCCTGTGTCAAAAAAAAAAAAAAGGCTCAAGTGGTAGAGCATTTGCTTAGCAAGTGTGAGGCCCTAAGTTCAAACCCAGTGCCACCATAAACAATACAAAATAAGAGAAAGGAAAAAAAAAGGTTCATTATTGAGTGCTACTATTTTATCTAGGAAGTTTTAGAGCAAGAAAAATTCTGAATAAATCTTCATTAACTTTATTTCAGAAAGTGGTAAAATAGCTGTGGAATACAAACCCACTGATGCCAGAAGTGAAGAACTACACGAGTTAATAATTCAAATACATGGAGAGGACACCCTCAAAGCTTTCAGCTTCTCAACAGTGGATGCTCAGGTGGCCACTTGCCTTTTCTGTGCTTCAAATTAGACTTGTAATATAAGTGACTGCCTCTACAGGCAGTTGTGAGTATCTAAGGAGCTGACGTTCTTCCACTCTTTGTCCAATTGTTGCAGAATTCAGTAACAAAGATTAGCTCCCTTTGCTCTCCAATTTGACCAGGCAGCTTTCTACCCCTTCTCTCTTACTAACCACCAGAGCAGTAAACCTGCCAGGCCAAGACGTATAGCTTCAGAGAAGTGGTGCTAGACACCTGGAGAAGCAAGGCCAGTGGGCATGGTAAACATGTATCTGATCACGCAGTCAAGCTGAGCCCCAAATTCCCCTTTAAGAGGCAGACATTTTCTCTCAGAAGTGGGACACAATGCTTTGAGAGTGTTATGTGCCAGACTCCAAGTGTTGCAGGCCGGTGTCGAGGGTCCTTGCCTTTACAGGTCAGAGAACTGGCTTGTGAGGCAGCTGAGCGATGAGCCAAAGCCAGTATATGAAGTAGGGTTTATTAGAGAGAAAGGAAAGGCTACAGCTAGAGAAGTGCAGCAGAGCCCGAAGTCAGTAACTCGCTGCACAGGTGAAGGCTGGGGCTTTTTAAGGATGCTTTAACTCTGGGTTAGGGTATCAGTTAGGTTTTCTTTTCTATTGGCCATGTATTTGCATGGGGGCCCCTTTAGATGAGCTGGTCTTTTTGCCCCTTATTGGGGGGCAGGGAACAACATTGAGAGAATTTTGTTTATCAGTCCTGTGGCAGATCTGTGGGACCCTGTATCTCTTCCTGGCAGATTTGTGAGGCCCTGTATCTCTTCCTCAGGGAACAGAAATGCAGATTCATAACTCCTTCTCAGGGTGCAGGGCTCATGGGGTTCTCCATGGGGGATGGGCTACTTTCTGATCTGCCTTAGATATCCAGACCCAACAAGAGGTTGACTCTCCCTGTCCACCTCTTTGTCAGATGAATAATAAACCTTACTTCCTTCTCAAAACCTTGCTCTCCTTATTTGTAAATTGTGAATTGGCATTGAGGCCAAGGGATCAGTTTTTTCAGTAACAAAACCGGCAACCCAGATGGGATCCACAGGGGGTCCTCACTCCTTGAGTGTTAAGAGGCCCCCTGGGTTGCACTCTGGCTGGACCTCAGCAGAGGTGCTGGTAAATGAGGCTGGCAGACAACTAGAGGACAAATCCCAGCAGCTGCCAGGCTAAGATTAACACCAGGGACCTCCCATTGTCTCCTCCAAGAACCACAAACAGGACCTGTAGCCTCCAGGCCTGTGCACCCCAAAACCTGACTCTGCCTGTCTGAGAAGGTCCCACTGGGATCTTCACCTGGTCCCTCCAAGGGAGGAATTTGTTGGTGCCATTTTTAGGGTAGAAATCTCGGGTTAAAAGAGACCAGGGAATCTGGGGATCTGTTTTGAGGGGGAATTGTTGTCCCCACGTGGTGTTTTCTTTTGTTAAAGATCCCCATCTGGTTTGGGGGGAACTTGTGTCCCCTTTCTGGCTTCTGTGAGAGAGTCTTGTCTGTTGGCCTTAGGTCTAGGGGAGGAAACTCCCATCTGGTTGTTTGTCTGGTTCTTCATTTAGCCTGTTTGATATGGGAAACATAAATAGATGTTCTATTCTATCTGAAAGCCCTTTGGGAAATGTTAGGAAAAATGCCGCTCACAAAGAAAGCTCACAGGAAAAATCTCACGTCTAAGACCAAGGTTTAATGACAGGCTCAAGCTGTCAGGCTGACCCGGAAAAGATGGCACAGCACTGACTCTGGGCTAGGTGTGGCTTTCATAGAAGAGGGAGCTTGAGGAAGTTAGCGCATATGGGGGAGTCTCTGTTAGGGGTGGAGCTGTCTTAGAGTGCTGGAATTTCTGTTAAGGGTGGGGCTGCTGTTGGGGGTGGAACTGCCTGGGGGAGGCTCCATTTCTCAAGAAGTGAGGCCTGAGGACAAAATGGCTGCTGATTCACAAAATGCCAACATTATTACTCTATCAGGGAAGTCTTGTAGGGCTTGCTGGGAACAATGAGAAGCAAGGAGGGTCTTTCCTGCCCCAGGTCATACAGTCAATGTATGGAGCTCTGCATGAGTCCAGGGAGGGAGAAGGGAAAAGGAGGGGAGCCAGGACAGATCGGCAATCTCAGAATGGAAGACGTGGAGAAACCTGAGATGGAAGTCCCAGGTGTCGCACACCATCCTGCAACTCAGGCCCACCAGACTGAGGGCAGGGCTCTGCAATGCCTCCCTTCCTCCCCTCTCAGATTACTGCTCCTCCCCAGCAGACAACAGCTCAGGGTGGAGGAGGAAAATACTCCCTGAATCTCCCTGGTAACCAGTACAGCAGCCTGCACCGTCCTCCAATTCTGCAGGCAGGTGTCTGCCTCCTTTAGGAGCCCAGCCATGAGGTTGGCTTTGGGGCTGAATGAGGTACTAGAAACACAATGGAAAGTGAGAGTCAGGCAAGTTGGAAGAGGACTTGGTGCTGTGGCTGGAAAACGGAGGGGAAAGCAGAACTAATATCTCCCCTTCTCTTGCCTAGGTGAGCTTTTTCTGGTTAAGGTGGCCAATTTGGCTTAAGGATATGTACAGTGTCACACGCGAGAAAAGTATGGGCCAGAAGCTACCTGATACAGACTCTTCTGATGACGATCAGATTTCCAATAAGGATGCAGGGAAAATGGCTGAGGGGTGATTTAAGATTTTTAAAGTGTAAAAGTCTTCATTGTTCTTCTCCAAGGGAGCTCAGGGAAGTCATCATAGCGATTTCTGGAACTTCAAGAGGAAAAGGATTGCAATGTTGTTCTCCCAGCAAAATCATCATAGACAGTTCTGGAACTTCAAGAGAAAAAGGCTTGCATTATTCTCACAGGGAGCTCAGACAAGGCATCATAACAGTTCCTAAGGAGGTAGATTCAGTCCTAGAGGATGAAAGAGGGAACTGGCTTTGTTGCTCCTCACTCAGCCTAAACAGTGATGCAACTCCTGCCTCAGAAACTGACAAATTTTGTCTTCTAACACAGCCCGGCTTGTCAAATCTTACTATTCTCATTAAAATGTATGAAATTTATAACCAATTCTCTCCATGTAGTAAGAAATTAAAACCTAAACAGTTAAATAATGTATGTGCAAATCACAAGGACATAGGCAGGAAAACCAGAACTGATGCTGGACTCCTTTGTGGCAGTCTAGCTTCTGCAAGAGGCAGTGTAGGCAGTGAAAGTGCTTCTTGCCCTACCTCCTCCAGTGTAATCATCCTCTGGGCATCAGAAAACATAGCTTCAAGGGGTGTAGATTTTTAAGTCAAATCCCAGTTGTTCTCTTGCCCTTTCCTCTAGTTCACCAAGAACCAGTCATTTCCAAGGTATTTGCCTCTTGCCATCAGGGAACTGTACACCTCTAGACCTACTCACTAAATGTTGGGATCACTAGAATATCTACATCAGTGAGTCTACTAGAGTGTGGGGCCAGGTCTTGCCTTTTTTATTCCCAAGCCCTCAAACTAGTACATGAGTATGGTCCTGTCTTGGAAGGGTTTTCCACTTTGACAAGCGGGTAGAAAATTGATAGCAGTTTGTTTTTCTTTTAGAAAAAATCAACCCTGCCAGGCACTGGTGGCTCACTCCTGCAATCCCAGCTACTCAGGAGGCAGAGATCAGGAACATCTCGGTTTGAAGCCAGCCCAAGCAAATAGTTTGAGAGACCCTATATCAAAAAAACCCTTCACAAAAAAAGAGCAGGTAAAATGGCTCAAGCTGTAGGCCCTGAGTTCAAACCCCAGTACCACACACACACACAACACACACACACACACAGCTAAGTGGTAAGTATATGTAGGAGGGTCGTGGTTTAGGCTAGCCTAGGCAAAACCACAAGACCCTATCCAAAAAATAACTAAAATAAAAAGGACCAGGCACATAGAACAAGCAGTACAGTACATGTCTAGGAAGTACGAGGTCCTGAGTTCAAAACCCTAGTACTGAAAAAAAAAAAAGAAATGTGTTAGGCTGAATCGGGTTGTACAACTATGGTCCCAGCTACTCAGGAAGTGGAAGTAAGAGGATCAAAGTTGAAGACCAGCCTGGGCAAAGTTAGCACTAGACCATATCTGACAAAAAAAAAGTAAAAGGATTGGAAATGTGGATCACGTGGTAGAGTACTTCATGCTTGAAGCTCTGAGTTCAATTCCCAGTACCAGCAAAAAAAAAAAATAAACAAACATATAAAAAAATAATAAGGGATGGGTTAGCTATCGCTGCAGTGATGTAACTCAGGGATTAGAATGACCTATGCAGGGCTGTAGCTGTCTAATGTAGTTGTGTTCTAATACTATGCTAGCTGGTTGGCTCCACCTTACCCTGAGGCTCTGTCCCACCTGTGCTCACTCTGCCACTAAGGGTGGAGAGGTGGTAGTTCAGAGGAGATGCTCCTCTCCTGTGAAGGCGGAAGTACACTGAAGACCAGCAGATCCTTGTGAGGCCTCTTCAAGCCAACACTTGGAACTGTACTTTCATTTCTACTTAATCTCACTGGCCAAAGCAAGCCACAGCAAAGCCTAAAGCCAGGCAACTGGAAAGGACAGTTCACCCACAATGAGATCATGGATGCCATATGGGCCAACAGGTCGGGGCTAGTAATTCAGTGTGTGAGGAGTCCTGGTTTGGAGATTATACAATGAGGGCTGCTGTTGCTGCAGCCACCTGGAAATATGGCATAGTGAAGGAAGGGGGACTCAAGCACTGTTCTCTTTGAGGTCACTTTGAGGAACCACGACAAGGCAAGAACCACATCTCCTTCCTCCCCACACAGATCTTGCTCCCTTCCCACCAGTGCCTAGCATCAAGCCCTGCTTTAGGGATGACTCAGGAATATGAACGAGTGCATTTTAGTCTGTTCCTTCAGCCTCTCCATGTAACTCGGTATGAAATATAGACTGAATGACTGGAGGTCGCAAATACTGTTATTGCCCCACAAACTAAAGAGACTGTGCCTTTGGAGCTGAAATCTGTACCCAGATGTGTCTGACCCCAAATACTGGCTCTACTGCCTTCCACAGGGACCTCCAGAAGAAAAGAATGAACACTAAAACAGAGTAGTTAAATTTCTATCTCCAGGAACCATTTGAAATGGAAAAGATTCTCATCACCTTTGAAATATCAAAAGCCAGCCAGGCACCAGTGGCTCACACCTGTAATCCTAGCTACTCAGGAGGCAGAGATCAAAGCCAACCAGGGCAAATAATTCATGACAGCCTACTTTGAAAAAAAAAGTCACAAAGAAAGGGCTGGCTCAAGCCTTGTGGGTGGAGAATGTATTTTAGGACAGTGACTCATGGTAAATTTTTCCCCAAGTCCCCAAAACGGACTACTCAATGTCAAGCCCTCAAAACCCAAGTTGGAGGGATAGAGAACCTAGGAGTGCTGTGGGGTGTTTTCGCTATATATGTTGAAGATTTTGAAGCTTGTTGTAAAAAAGTGATGGCCTATGGCTCTCCAAGATTGCCTTCATGAATACAACAGATGTTTTGTAGTAGTTTTAAAAAATCGATCCCCATGGAATGTAGGCACTGGTAAGTGAAAGAAGAAGGATAGTGGGAGACTGTGTGTTGTGTATTATCTGTACAAAACTGGGTGTCCCAATACAGTAATCACTAGCCACATATCACTGTTTAAATATAAATTTAATTTAATACAAATTAAATTTAAAAAGTCAGCTCCTAAATCACACTACCCAAATTTCCATTGCTCGATAGCCACATGTGCCTGGCCAGTGGCTACAATGGTGAACAGCAATGGTAGACCATTTCCATCATCACAGTTCTTTTTTCAGCAGTACAAGGGTTTGAACTCAGGCCTTAGCACTAGCTAGGCTGTACCATGTGAGCCCACACCCAGCTTTTTCTTGAGTCGGTTTTGGATAGGATCTCGCAGTTGTTGCCTGGGGCCAGCCTCAGACTGCAATCCTCCTACCTATGCCTCCCATGATTGGGACCACAGGTGCCCACCACCACGCCCAGCTTCTTTGCTGTGATGGGGGTCTCATTAACTTTTTGCCCATTTTGGCCTCAAACTGGGATCCTCCCGATCTCTGCCTCCTGAGTAGCGGGGATTCCATCATCATTACAATACTGATGGACAATGCTACCACTGAAAACCTCTGGAGGGACATACAAGATACTGACAATGGTGGTTTCCTTCAAGGAGGGCAGCTGGGAGGCTGCAATGACACATGTATGTGCCTTTTTGTATACACCTTTTGAATTTCACATCATGTATTTGTATCCAGTATATGAAAAATAATACAAAGATACAAATTGGGAATCCCTTCTAGGAGTCACTGTACTGGCAGAATGGTTCCCAGGAATTTACTTTGCAATTTTTCTACAATAAAATAAGCTAGTAGATTTACGACTTCGCATGTCATGTTTTTTCACAAACTTCTTGGCTCCTGCCAGCCTCTCTCTGCTCTTAGAAACTCACAGGTTAGAAGTGAATTAGTATGTAGTATAGGAATGTTAAAGGAAAATCTCACCCAGCTCTCATGCACCACTTAGCATCTTTTTTTCCCCTTTCTGACAAATGTGAGTCATTGTGATTGTATTCCATGTGAATAAACAACAGCCATAGTTCCTGTTGATAAGGCTGTTCCTGGTTCTATAACAGAAATAAGTGGGTTTCCTTTTTGGCATTCATAATCGCTGATCACTCTGCCTCCCGAGCAAGGTTGCAATCAGTGAAATAGGGAATGGGGATCTTGCTTGGCATGAACCTGTACTCAGGCTAGTTAAGGCAGGAATGGGGTGGGAGGACTGTGCAACATGACTGTGCTCTTAGAGAAAGAATGCATTCAAACTGAAAGGGGACAGGGAAGTATCTTTGCCCTGCTCAGAAGGCAACCTCTGAGTTCCAAAAGGCAACCTCCGATTTCCAACCTCTAACTGCAGATCCTGGGAGGGCCCATCACAAGAGAGGGCCTCTGAAACCTGTGTGCCACAAGCACTGTTCACAGGCAAATAAATCCTCTCTGTGTCTCCCACACTATAATTTTTATCTCACTAATAGCAATGCTATTTTCAGCATAAATTTAAATGTTATTTAAACCTTACAGCTACCTGGGAGGTCTGTCCTATTCTTCCCAGTTAATAGATGAGGAAATTGAAGTTAGGAAATAGATAACTCACCCAAGCTCAAAAAATATTATGTTAGTTGGGGCTCTTTATGTTCCATGTGAAAGAATCCAACTAAATTGCTTAAAGAACAAATGCAGCCAGGCATGGTGTGGTGGTACATGCCCGTAATCTCAGCACTTGGGAGGGGGAGGAAGGAAGATCTCAAGTCTAGGCCAGTCTAGGTACATAGCAAGACCCTGTTTCAAAGAAAGAAACAAAAAATAGTGCACAATACATCAAATCATAACAATTACTTAGAAACTGTTTAAGAACATGTGCACGGATGCGATGAACCTAGAAACCTCTCAAGTTCTCTTCTCTGATCACATAGGACTTTGTCGATCCCTTTATTATTGTTCAAGTCACATCGCAATATGAGATTTTTTTTCCATCTGGAGTTTGCCTGGTCAGCTCATGGTCCATGAATGAAATCTTTTGTGAACTTATGGCATATATACGTGCATTTGTGCATGTCACTCTTGTCCCATCCCCACCCCATCACATCCCACCCCTGCCTTTGTGCATTTCACAAAAGCATGGAGAGCAACATGAGAAGAGGTAAACATACCTGCATATTTTTCAGAAGACCAGGAGCCTGCAAAGTAAAAGACCAGTAGAAAAGGGCTCCTGAAAAACAAAACATTATTTTGAGGGAATTCCCCACAGCCCCAAAACTCCGTAGCTATGCAACAGTTCAGTGGAGTAAGGTAGTGATATTAAGTGCTCAATTGGGAAGCAGAAGCATGGTTGTGCCAAGTCACCAATGCTCTGGCTGTGCCAGAAGTACTATTCTTTTCCCAAGGTAGCTCGATGCCTGTAGAAAATGCCTTAATTCTGGCATGGCTTTAAATGGGTTTGACAGTGGGGAGGATGGAAGGAAAGGGTGTAAGAGAGCGACTATGATGGAAATATTATGCACTCATGTAAGTAAATGGAAAAAATGAAACCTGTGGAAACTATTCCAGGAAGGAGTGGAGGGGGAGAAAGGAGAATGTTGGAGGGGTGAATTCTTTATGATATATTGTAAGAACTTTTGTAAATGTCACAATATACTGAATTCTCTCTGAATTTATTTCCTCCTTCCCAGTAAAATGGGGATAATCGGAAGACATGAACGTGAAGCTCTGGACAGCTAGTGTAGTGATCACTGACTAATAACTGTATTTGGGAGTTTTCCTTTGGTAAGCGTCTTTTTTAATTTTATACATCTATGGAACCAGTAAAGCAGTCTCATCTGATATTGGTCTATAGAGGTGGCGGGGGGAGGCAGGCAAGAAAAGACAAGTGGAGAACATGAAGCTCTGTGAGCAACCTTTTGCTAAAGCTGCATCTGGAGTACACCTGTTAAATATAGGTGATCAATAAAAGCCTTTGGAAGTGTTAAAAAAGAAAACAAAACAACAATAACAAAACCAATTGTTGTACCTGTACACCCAGTACAATTTTTAAGAGGCTGGTTTGACAACAAAAGAACATAGTTTGTATGTATTTGTAAACCTCCTCCTCAACTATCAACTGTTTTGAAAACACTCAACTCACCTAGCCTAAAACTCAGCAGGGGAGGTTCTCTCTCCTGCAGAACCGGCAGTCCCTAACAGCTGGTTTTATAAATGGAAGCAGACACTAAGTCCTCAACCTTTGCAGAGACACCAGCGATAGCTGCCTTGCAGAAGTCACCATGGAGCTTGAACTGAGCTGTTCCCACCCGCCCGGTGCGCGCATGCGCGTAGCTCTCCCCACGCCCACCGCAGCGCTCCACACTCAGGCCCGGGGCTCCCATTTAACGGAAAAGCCCACATCTCCCGCCCAGCCCCTCACTGGCTGCAGGTCGCTACTCTGGCCATTTTTCTTGAGTCCTTTAGGAGGAGAGATGTCACCTCTTTAAAGGAAAGAAAACAACCAGAGGACACGGTCAGAAGAGGAAAAGCTGGCCGGGGCTCCACGCCTCTAGAGAATGACAGGCCAGGCACACGCGGGAAAGTGCCTGAAGGAGCAACGAGGGGAGCTCGTGGCATAAGGTGCGGTCAAAACCGGTGTTTTCCTGCCCTGGGCTCTGCCCACTGAGCTACACTAATGCGTGGGGGAGGCACAATAGGGCAGGAGTTATTTGGCTCCACTCACAAGTTCAACCTTCGGCAGAGGCGGGGGCGAAGTGACAGCCGCAAAGTCGCACTGTTGGTGCAAGGCCAAGCGAGGTAAAGGACTCAGAAGCCAGGAGTCTGGTCTGCCGCAGAACTGCTGGAAACAGGCTGTACGGACGCGTATTGCCCGGCGCGGGTGACCCAGCCTTCCACCCGAGGCTGGCGCCCTGGGAACCGAGCGACAGGTACAGGCAACGGCTCCTGGGGAACGTCACCTCCAGGCTTTCCAGCGGCTGGCCCCGCCCCACGGCTTCTCTGGGCTCCTCGATTGGCTCTGGGGGTGGGAGGCGGGGCCTGGGCGCGGAGCCTACGTGATGGCGTCAGGCGAGCCCGCGCCGCTTACTGATGTCGGTGGCCGGGAGACCGAAGGGTCGGCTCCCTGGCTGAGGCGCTGCAGCGGCCGGGAGCTCAAGCCGCCGGTCCCTGCTTCCTGTGGTCAGTTGCGAGAATGAGGTGAGATGGGCAGCGCAGGGGGGCGGGGCCGCGACGCGGATGGCGGTGACGTCTAGACCTCCCCGCGGTCCCAGGTCCCTGCTTGCCTTGAGGCAGTCCGGCTTCTCAGTCCTCAACCCTTCCCAACCCTCTCTCCATTCTCGCCCCAGCCTTCGGCGCTGTGGGAGCTGGCCGGTCCCCTCCATTTTTTCCCATCGTAACCCGACCTCAGCGCTTACCCGCATGCCCTCATCAGCGCGCTTGCGTAAATGCACCCCACTCGTGACCCCTCTTTAGCGCAGTTGCAACGCGATCTCCGTCACATCCCTTCGGCTCCTCTTCCTCATTGTCACCCCTCAACCCCTCTGGCAATAATGCTCCTCGCTGCCCTGCCCCCTGTCATTGAAGAACCACCACCAAAGTAGGTATCCTGTTGAATTCATCCCTTTCTTCTTGATAACTGATCTCAGCCTCACCCCAAGTCGATTGTGTACCTCCTTGACCTCACAGACTCACCCCTAACTTCCTAGTTCATCATGTAGCTCTTTTCCCTCTCTTACCATCCTGAGGACACACCTTCCTAAATCTTTGCTAAACTGTCCCCAACTCTTGTTGCCTCAGTTCCTACCAGTTGCTCCTAGTCTTGTTAACAGTGAGATCTCCATGTCCTGTCTCCTCTGCTGTCCCCATGGCAGTTCTTCACCCAAAGTCTGTGCCCATTCTCCCCTTGGAGCAGCTCTCATTCGATCTGAGAACTTAATGCATAGCCCCTGCCAGACCCCTCCAGCTGACCCTCAACAGCCAAGTCTAGGGCTTGCTCAGAGCTGGGCAGTTAGAGACTGAACTTGACTGGCCTGTGCAGGGCCTCAGGCAGTAATAAGTGTGGAGGAATAGACATCCCTCCCCTACTCTTGGGTTTAAGCCTTTCCCCCATTGTCTGGTCCCCTGTACCTATCGCCAAGGTTTGTTTATCTGGCATCCTATTAAAGTACTTGTGCTGGCTGTTGGAATGGTCAGTGTCATTCAAACAGCTGGAAGGTGAGAGATGGCCACTCACCCAGTTTATTTAACCTGGCGCAATGAAAGCCATCACTTCCTTTTGGCTTGGTTCTGGCTCTGGAGAACCTCAGGGAGTGGCACTGTGTGGGGAAGGCTGTGATCACAGAGCCATATCCATGTGTGTTGTCCTGGCATGGTCCTGACCCTCTCCCACTGCTCCTCCCTGCCAATGCTGATTGCATTGCAGATCAATCCCATTGCTGGGACACAGGGACACGATAGATGTCCACTCTGCCAGCCTACCAAAGGTTTTTTTTTAAAGTTATGAGATCAAAAATCAATCAAAAGTAAACTGTACTTTATCAAAATTAAAAACCTTTGTTTTTTGTTTTGGTGACAGAATCTAGCCCAGGCTGGCCTTCAACTTGCAATCATGCTTCAGCCTTCTGAGTGCTGGGGTGACAGACATTTGGCACCATATGCAGCAAAAATCAAAAATTTATGCTTCAGAGGATAATATCAAGAAGCTGAGTGGCTGGGGTGGTTGTTACTCAGTGGTAGTGTTTGCCTAGGATGTTCAAGGCCCTGCGTTTGAAATGCAAACCCACAAAATGGGGGAAAATATTTATAAATGAAACATAATGGTCAAGTTGGGCTGTGAGTGGAATAAACTTTTCTCCAAAGATGATACATGTACAGCCAAGAAGTACATGAAAAGATGCTGGACATCACTGGCATCAGGAATATGCAGATCAAAATCACAATGAGGTAATACTTCATCCATGTTAGCATACCTGTAAGAAAAAAAGACATACAATATCAAGTGTTCACAAAGATGTAGAGAAATTAACTCTTATACATGAGTGGTAAGAAATGTAAACTGGTACAAATGCTGTAGAAAGCTGTTTGGTAGTCCCTCAGAAGGTTAAACAAAGTTATATGGGACCCAGCAATTCTTCCTCTGGATATATACAAGGAGAATTAAAACCATGTCCACACAAAAATTTGCACATGAATGGTCATAGCAACATACTTGTAAATAGCCAAAAGGTGTGTGTGAGTGTGCAGGGATGTTCATTAATTAATGAATAGATAAATGAATTGTGATAGATCTAGCCAATGAAATATTATTCAGCCAAAATGCATGTTAGAACATGAACAAACCCTGTAATGATATACTAAGTGAAAGGAAGCTGCCACAAAAGGCCACATGACGTATGATTCCATTTATATGAGCCAACCCATAGTTAATGATAAAAGGTTTCCTTGCTCAGTGATGAAAATATGTGTGTGTGTGTGTGTGTGTGTGTGTGGCACTGGGGTTTGAATTCAGGACCTCATGCTTCCTATGCAAGCACTCTCCCACTTAAGGCACTCTGTCAGCCCTTTTTTTGTTTGTGTTGGGCATTTTGGAGAGAGGGTCTCAAGAACTATTTGCCTAGGCTAGCCTCAAACTCGATCCTCCTGATCTCAGCCTCAAGAATAACCAGGATTACAGATGTAAGCCACTGGTGCCTGGCCGGTGAATTAGATGACAGTGCGGTTGCACAACATCACTTGTGAATATGCTAGGCACCACCAAATTATACACTTTAAAATGCTGAATTTTACGGTACATGAATTCTATCTTCATAATAGGTGGAGGGTGCGGGGAAAAAGGAACCCTTATATACTGTTGGTGGGAATAAAAACTAGTCCAGTCACTAAGGAAATTAGTGTGGAGGTTCCTCAAAAACTAAAAATAGAACTAACACATGAGCCGGTCATATCACTCCTCAGTACATATTATAAGGAATTAAAGTCAGCTTACAACAGAGATATCTGTATATACTCAGGGGTGCAGCTAGAGCTTGCACCAAGTCTGAACTTTCTAAATCCATCACCTCCCCACACACATTGTGCTATGTTCCTCTGTTACAGAGAGCACCTGTGTCTAATTTGATTTTCCTATACCCTAGCCAAGTTCAGTGACAGACAATCACATTGGACAGGAAAGGCAGAAGGAGGCGAGGAAAGAAAGAACAGTGAAGAGAGAGAGAGAGAAGCGGTGGGAAGGGGCACTCACTCTTGGAGAGACTGGTGGGAATCATCAGCATTTGCAGTACCCAGGGCTGAGTGACAGACATGGGCTCGTCAGTTCGGTCTGCGCTCTTGGAGCCATTCTCTTAGAGAAAGCAGCTATCAGAGTTTAGTCTGCAGGACAGCTGGGATGAACTGGCTGTGCCCAGGCTGAGGGAAGAGGCAGTGAGCTTCCTGTTCCACTGGATTTTATGGCCCAAGTGCTGGACTTTGATGTCCTCTGGGCTTGAGGAATGGAAATTGAATCCAAAGACTCTTTCTGCTGTAGTTCTACACCACAGGTAGTGAGAAGATCGAGCTCAGTGAGTGGGCAAGGCCCAGAGAGAAGTCAGTGTGGTGAGTGTACATTCATTTAAGATTGCGGACTTGTAGGAGAGCTCAAAGGACAAAGCTCTCCTCCTTAGCGAGAAGCTAAGGAGGAACTCACCCTCCTCAGGGTCACCAGAAGGGCTGTGGGCTGACAGTACTCTCACAGTGGGGCCTGGTCCTGGAGGATCAGGTTCAGGTAGCACTTCATCAGGCCATCATTGAGGCCAGTCGCATCCAGGCCCAGCAGAGGCCCACGTCTGTGTTGACAAAGACCACATGCTCCAATTCTGAGATGATGTGTCCAGAAAGGGGGAGAGCAGAATTGTTTCAAGAAACTGCCTCAGATCCTTAAGCTGTTCTTAAGCCTATGATAATCACTGCAAATATATGTAGACATGATTCTTAGGTAATTGAGTTTTCTTTTGTCTTTTTGGTTTCTTTTCTTTTTCTTTTTTTTCTTTTTTTGGTGGGACTAGGGTTTGAACTCAGGGCTTCACCCTTGCAAAGCAGGTGCTCTACCACTGAATCTCTGGTCCATTTTGCTTTGGTTATTTTGGAGATGGGGGTCTCTCAAACTATTCACTCAGGCTGGCCTTGAACCACAATCCTCCTTATCTCAGCCCCCCAAGTAGCTACGATTACACTGGCACCCTACTCAGATAATAGTCTTAAGGGGAGATGTTACTACACAATAGCCCATAACTTTTTGAGGTTGGTGTTATGAAATATAATCACTATGTTCATTACAACCACCCCTAAGATCCTTGACATTATCTGCTCATCCAAGACAGGTTTCCTGAGCCTACAGGTCCTTGGAGCTGGGATGATACTGGGTAAAGACATGGTTCCTACCCTTGATCCAACTAACTTTTCCTCTTCTTTTTACTTTTTTTTTTTCTGCATAGCTGGAGAATGAACTCAGGGCCTTGTGCATGCTAGGCAAGTACTCTACCACTGAGGTATATCCCCAGCCCCAAGAAACTGCCATGGAGCCCTTCTGTTAGTGAAGCTTGTGTGGGACGTTCGAACTTAGAGTAAGAAAAATGCCACAGAAAGGTCAGCAGCTGAGCGAGTCCCTGAAGGCTTTCCAGACGCAAAGATGGAGAACCTTCTAGGCACAATGTTCTGAAAGAAAAAGGGATAAAGGGTAGGAAAGCAACAGGCCTGTAACAGGAGTGAGAACACTGCCGTTACAACAGGTGAAGGGAGAGTGGCTGATTA